TTAATGAACAATTCTCTCTTCATGATGGAAGTGATGCATTCTCTAACTCAATACATCCACCCACCTTCACTCCTGTGATCAATGATGATGATGATAGCATTCAGGCGTGTTTACATTGGATGCAATAAACCGCTGCATTGTTCCATTCAAGCTTAAAGATAAACTTGAGTTCTGGTAAACAAAGATAATAAATTCTCACAGAATCAAACGAAACTTACACTGAATGTTCAAGATTACAAATAAATGTCATCTGCCAAACGATTTTGGTAGAAAATGTATACTGGCTGAGTAATGAGCATAGAAAGAAAAGGAAATCAAGGTAAGTAGCCCCGACACCATTTGTGTAGTCCCATATACATCTTTCTGTGTACAGTACTTGTTACTTTATCAAGACTGGCCAAGTTTATTATGATTTTGATGACTCCAGAACCTTGCAGTACACACCAATAATTACATGCTACATGATCAACTTTTTTCTGATCCATTCCACACCTTTTCTTTCACAATGCAATTGTATGACCAGAACTCAACTTTATCTTTAATGCACATAACATACAGATAGTGAGTTCACATACATGTAGGACCTTGGGCTGTGTGCAGCTACTTTTTTAAACCCTCACTGGAACATAGAAAATAAATGTTTTCTGGTCCAGTGTAAATGAGTCATACATGTAAGTCATCTTATGGCAGTCTCTGTTGATCAGATACTAAAACATTGATTTCTCATCCAGCATATACAGTAAAGGGAGCATATCCCTAATATGCAAAGTTGATTAATTTTTCAGTGTTTACTTTTGACAAAGTTGTGTTTAAAATAAATAGATATGGCATATTTACTCCATGAAAACAGAATAGCAAGCAAAGGAATTAAATTGGAATATAATATTTAACAATTTTGAACTCACTTTTGTTAAATGCTGTGTATATTGTGGGGGACATTAACACATGTTTTCCTTTACTTTGCTACTTTTATACTTATTTTGCCGTAAACACATTGTTGCACCCTCTACATGTATGTCATTATTGTAATACCGGTATGTTATAATTAAATATTAAGCTGACTGATTGTGACATTTTTGTGGAGTTATTGCTTAGTAATTGACTACCTGACCATTTACTAATTGTTCAGAAAGAACAACTAATAAAGAGTCATATCAAGAATTTCATTTTTTCATGAAATTAATATACATGGAAGCACCCCCTCCCACCCACACAAACGCACGCATGCACCCACTACAATGAAGATCCCTTGCTATATTAAAGAGGATGTAACTGAAAAGAGAGGGGAAGAAAAAGACCGAACATCTGTGACCTTTTTAATCAGCCTGCGTGTTGTGTCCCATAACACAATTTCCACCTATCCCGAAGGCACACAATACCTGTACAGGTCTTTGAAAAATAACAGGTACGAGTGATTCTAGGACAATTGGAGGGGGTGGGGGGGGGGGGGGGGACTTGGAGGTTCTCGCATTTATTTTCTACATGTGCATCGCTCAAACAGTTTTGGGGGAGTGGGGATTGAGCCCCCAGTCCCTCTCTAGAACCACTACTAATAAGAGGATGACAGGGTACATGTTATCTCAAAGCTCCTTTGCTTCGATTTCTCTGTATTACGACTCACCCCCGTAGATTCAATTTTGGATTTGACGGGTCAGTTGAAATTCAATAACTGCTCCCGTGCTTTCCCCTCCTGGCATCCAGAGAGATTTGGCCAATGGTCATGTCTTGCGTGATGCAAGGGTTTTATTATCAACAACCTCCTGAAGTGTATATCCGTAGAGTAGGGAGGAATGGAGGTTCTAAATCCAAAGAGAAACCCTGCGTTTGTAAATCCTTTGAACTGATTCCTTTTACATTGACTATGTGCGTTTAATGCTCCTGCACTTTCCCAGCCTGGCATGGAGAGATTTGCCCAATGGTCATGTCCAATTCATGCTTCATGCAAGATAACAACCTGCTAAATTCTGTGGTATAAGCCTACTAGTTGGTACATGGTACTATGGTAGAGTTGAAGGAGCTCTGTTTTACTTCAAAAGAGAAGACTTTCAGAGGTGTTGTTCTTGTCATTAGCCACGCTCACATCATAGATGGAGCGGAATTCTATTGATAGCTGTTGAGGCACATGGGCAGATGAAAAGAGGGAGGGTGTAGGGAACAAGGAGAGATGGGAAATTGTAGGTTAAGATGTAAAGGTGTGTGTGTGTGTGTGGGAGAAAGAGAGAGAGAGAGAGAGAGAGAGAGAGAGAGAGAGAAAGAGGGGGGGGGGGGAGAGAGAGAGAGAGAGCCCAAAAACTCTTTAATTAAGTGAAATATATATGCTGAGTGTCTTACTATCGTGACTACTGCATAATCAACATAGAAACCAAGAAGAGGGGGGGGGGGGGGGAGAGAGAGAGCCCAAAACTCTTTAATTCAGTGAAATATATATGCTGAGTGTCTTACTATCTTGACTACTGCATAATCAACATAGAAACCAAGAAGAGAGGGGGGGGGGGGGGGATCAATACGATGCCCGCCTCTTCTACTCCTCATATTGAGTATTAGTACATGTATGCGTTGTGATGTCTAAGATACAGGTAATAATGGGGGACAGTTTCTATTGATTACACCGTGAGGTCCGATGACAGAGAGGGCGGTAATACAAGTGATTCTAGGGGCCCTTCATCAGGTTTGTGTTTCAAGGGGTGCTTAATTATCAGTCATATGACATGCAACAGATTACTTTTTATTCATAGCTTGCTAGACAGCTAACCATTTCTTCATAAATCCCAAAGACAGTTTGAACATAAATGTAGTAAGATACCAGTATTGTGTTTGTGCCATGTATGGTGCAAAATAATATCCTTATTTCAAAATTAAAATGTAGTAAATTGATTTCAAATAATGAATTTCATTACACATCTTTTACTTTAATATCAAATTTCAACCCCCCCCCATTACAGATTGTTTTCTTTGCATTGATTTAATATCCACAAGTCTTGCTGACAGTATGCATGAAGCTTTCCATGTTAATGTGGTTGATACATGTATCTGACAGCCCAGTGTAGACATTTATTGGAGTGGAGAGGAATACAAACTCCAGGGACCCGTTTCACAAAGTCATTTTCAATGACAAAAACATTTAAAACAAAAATCTATGATAAATCTGCTGATATTAAACAAATCAGAAGTAAGGATTTCAATAGCTTATAACAAAAACTGTCATTTTGTCACTGATGACAAGTTTTGTGAAATGAGGCTCAAAAGTCTACTTAAAAATAGCTCTGAAGTAAATATGAATGTTAACATAAAATCATCAAAATCCAAATATCATTTATACCGGTAGTAGCAAAAAGAAGAAGAGTTGCCATGGTCAAAAGTACTATTCTCTCAGCTTTAGGTCAGTCTCCATGTATATAGTCTAGTAATGTAGTTTGTATTGTGTACTCATATTTGATACTGAATATTGACATAGTTACTTTCTCTATTTGTGCAGTGTTGATCTTGAAAAGCAAAGTTCAAAATGCACCGGGGCCTGGGTGTCAAAAATAGGGTTCAATATCAATAATATATTCATGGAATAATGATTGATTTGACATACAAGGCTATGTGTGTACCCAACACAGTCATGAATGCAGACACATGTGTACAGTTAAAGCTTTATTCACACCCTAATGTCCTGAGGTAACCCCTTTATATTCAACATGACTGCTCATTGCATGTTTTAATCGTGCATTTCAGATTTAATTCACACCTTTGCATGTCACCTGTGGAGTGCCATAAGGACATTACACTGTACTCTCTAAAAAAAATCGAGTGATCACGGACATCACTCCTCTGGAGAGTGAAAATGTAGTGAAAATAGAGTGAACATTCACTCTTTTCTTCTTAGAGAGCACTCTAAAATCAATCGATTTTCACTCCTAAACAAGTGATCACGGACGTCACTCCCAAGAAAGTGAAAATAGAGTGAAAATTCCCTTTTTTTTTTAAAGAGAGTACCTCTGTTATATACATGTCTGTTATCAAACCTGTCTATAGTGACCACCCAAGGGAAGCACAAAAATTGGCCTTTGTAGACAGGTTCCTTTAGTACAAGTTTCAATGAGAAACCTTTTTCAAGGGAAACAAATCATGTGGTCTTTGTAGGCAGGTGGTCACTAAAGCAGGTTTGACTGTAGTGTGTATGAGTTAGTGTCCTTCTAGCCTCTAAAGATGATATCTTTAGTTGATAGCCAGAAGGGTGTTACATCTGGTATAAAGTATAGAAAAGTAATACCCATATGGCTCTTAACAGAGGGTACATGTACATGTATTTACCATACTTATATGCCACATTTATATGCCACATGAATGCTCAGTGTACATTGTACATGTGTAAAGCAAACCTTTACCACATTGCCATTCAACAGAGGTAGCGTTTCTATCATCTCTCTCTCATCATGTATTCATTGCTTAATCAATACAGGTGATTATTTTACCCAGTGTAATATTCATCAATGAATTATTCTGATATGAGATGTTGATTGACTGATGTTATTAACAGAAACCATGTAATGAATTCATGAGAAACATGGCCCTATCATCATTTTTGAATAATTTACACCACAAGTTTTAATTTTTGTCTTCTGTCTCTTTTCACTTAAACCATTGACTTCTGAATTTTCTCATTCCCATATATTTAACACAGGGACCATCTGGTTTCCATCTAGGCAATGTGTTTAAAGAGCCACTTTTATAGTATTATTATTGATAACATTTATTGAATAGTTTATATCCCTCTCTTCTATACAATTAAATCTATCAAGTTTCTACTTAAAATGAAAAATATGTATAGTTTTCATATAAATCACTCAATTATGATTTCTTCTTCATGTTGTATGTTTTTATTATTATATTTTATAGCCCTGCATTTACCACTTCTTTCATTATGTTCTTGGCTATCTATAAATTTATAAATGTTTCATTTTGATGTTGCTATAATCTTTATATTTTTTTCCTCTTCTTTGTCTCTTTTGTAGATCTGAAAAGAGAAGCATCAATATGTCACATGTTAAAGCATCCGCACATTGTAGAGTTATTGGAGACGTACAGTTCAGATGGACTCCTCTATATGGTCTTTGAATAGTAAGTATATCCTTCACATACACTTCTATGATACCTACCTCCTTCAAACTTTAAGCCCCTCTAAAGTGTTGGGAGCCCTAAAAATTTGATGGCAACATTTCACTTAAATTGTTTCATAATGTGAAAGAGGATATCATTTAAGACACATTTCTGCAAGGATTTTCAAACAAAAATGTGTTTGAAGTTGAATATTGATGTAAGAATACCAAATTTAGGGCTTCTGTGTACAACCAAATTCAAATTATGCATTCTTTTATCGATACTTGTCTTCAAACACATTTTTTTTTTTGGAGGGGGGGGGGGGGGGTGTGGAGAAATCTTTGCAGAATTGTGACTTAAATTACATTGTCTTTCACATTATGATAAAATTTAAGTGAAATTTTGCCATCACGTTTTTTGCTGAAATTGGGACTCCCAACACTTAAGAGGGGCTTTAAGAGATCGACACCAGACCAATTACAGACTGACAACAGACAGAACTAAATTGCATTAGCCTGAAAGGTAAAGAATCTGTCAGGTTGGAATTAGTGTGGAGTTGGTTTTGTGGTGTGACTGATATATTGTACACAGGTTTACTTTGTAGGAAACCTCTGTATATTTACCTCTCTCCACCCAGGTGTAGTTTATAGATTTTTTGGTAGAAAGGAATATCTTTTGATGCATTTAGCATCAAAATCGGCACCGTGGCTGAACCTACAGGGTATTATTGGAGAGCCTGGATCACCTTGCTTGATGAATATGAATACCATGCAATGAGCCATTATCATTTATATTAGGCCTATATGATCATTTATATTTTAAAAAGAAATATACCCATATCTCGTGTATAGATGTTTAATAAAAAAAAGGTTCAAAGTTATTTGTTTTTAACATAAGTTCACAGGAGAGAAGAGACAATTTAACTTACTCAAATTTATGTTGTCTTGAATGTCTGAGTACCAATGATCAAAAATTGGCACAATTACACAAACCTCATATAGATACTATATCTGTAAGGGATATATTGCATTTTGCACCCTTTTCGGCATAGGATTAGGCCTTCAAGTACCTGCAATTGATATACCGATATTGCATTTTCCACGCTCTCTCTCTCTCATACAAGTAATTGTGACTATTTTTAAGTTGGCCATATGTTTCAAAATCAAATGTCCCAAGATTTACGCTGCAGCGACAATCATAAACAACCCCCACAAAATGTAATATATATTTTCTTGTCTAGGGGACCATCATTCCTACAAATTCACTTTGCCTAATGCATCTTAGTCTGATATTCCAGACATCAATTTTCAATAAGTTTTCTCCCTTGTTTAATCTTTAAAAAAAGATACTTTGGGGGATGGTCTGTGATATGAGGAATCCTCTTTTGAAAGATATTCAGTATATTTAATATTAAATTTAAATTGATGAACAATAAATTGTTGAAAGGTAACCTGCATGTGCAAGTTACACACACATTAATTGACACAAAAAATGTGACAAAAATGATTGAAGATTTCCCAAATTGTGAGAGTCATTACCGGGGTACTTTATTTGTTAAAAAAATATGCATATTTTAGTAGGAATTGACAGTGTATCAACTTTATACCACACATATTCTCCTATTGTTTTGGACAAAAACAGTACCTCTGAATCTCACTTATAATAAGGCTATGTCTTTATTATATATTTCATGATTGTATGCATTCTGTTTAGTTTAAACCTTATTAACAAATGGCATTTGTCTTTCAACAATTCAGTTTTCTTGACAAATGGTAAAAAGATAAAACTTTCGTAATGTTCAGTGTGCATTAGAACATGCCAAAAGCTTACATGTATATACACTAGTAAACTAACCGACACATCCACACCATACACACCATTCTATTTGACCATTGCCAATGATGTACAGCTTTCTACCGGAGGGGGGGATTCTATCTCCAAATGTTAGCATTTTTTTCCTTGCAAGATGGGATTGCCTGGGAGCGTTGTCCATTGATGGAGAGAATTCCTTGTAGAAAAAATATCAGGCTATTTTTAGCCCTGGATGTTTAGGCCAGGCATTCTATTCAGTGATGTGTGTGCGTGCTTCCATTAAGTATTAAGTTAGATGAAGAGAGGATGCCCACATCTTTGTTTAGAGGGGAAAAGAATAGATATATATGTATATTGTCTGTTGAGAGCCAGAAGGGTGTTAACTCTGTATGAGAGTATATGAGTTAATGCCCTTCTGGTTCCAAACGGAGGATATCTTATTTCTGTGCGCCTTACCTTGAGTTGAGGAGTAAGTTAATCATCACTTGAAAAACATGCTAATAAGGTCATGCAGATTAAACAGAATTACTAAAAGTACACTTTAGAAATGATACTATTGGCACTTTTATTCTATTGGATTGTAACATTATCTTTTGTATGAAA